GCATTACTCTGAAAGTGTCTTTTGTCCTGACTGGTGTTTTATTGTGAAAATCCTGTTTCCTGTGTTTGTGCAGATGATGAAGACGATGTACGAGGAGTGTAACCTGGTGCACGCCGACCTGAGCGAGTACAACCTGCTCTGGCACCAGGGGAAGGTACCAACCCAGAATCATGTGGTTTTAGTTTCAGGTCTTGGTTTCTCTAAAGTCTGGTGGTTTCAGGTCTTGGTTTTTCTCGTGGTGGTTAGAGATAATCTGTGTTTTCAGGTTTTTCTCGTGGTGGTTAGAGATAATCTCTGTGTTTTCAGGTTTTTCTCGTGGGGGTTAGAGATAATCTCTGTGTTTTCAGGTGTTTTTCTCGTGGGGGTTAGAGATAATCTCTGTGTTTTCAGGTTTTTCTCGTGGGGGTTAGAGATAATCTCTGTGTTTTCAGGTGTTTCTCGTGGGGGTTAGAGATAATCTCTGTGTTTTCAGGTGTGGGTGATCGACGTGAGTCAGTCTGTGGAGCCCACTCATCCTCACGGACTCGAGTTCCTCTTCAGGGACTGCAGGAACATCGCCACGGTAACGATTAGAAATAAAGAACAGGACCAGACTTGGAGGACCAGACTTGGAGGACCAGACTTGGAGGACCAGACTTGGAGGACCAGACTTGGAGGACCAGACTTGGAGGACCAGACTTGGAGGACCAGACTTGGAGCAACCAGACTTGGAGCAACCAGACTTGGAGCAACCAGACTCAGGGGACTAGACTTTGAGGAACCAGACTCGGGGGGGACCAGACTCGGGGGGGGGGACCAGACTCTGGGGAACCAGACTCTGGGGACCAGACTCTGGGGGACCAGACTCTGGGGGACCAGACTCTGGGGGACCAGACTCTGGGGGACTAGACTCTGGGGGACTAGACTCTGGGGGACTAGACTCTGGGGGACCAGACTCTGGGGACTAGACTCTGGGGGACCAGACTCTGGGGGACCAGACTCTGGGGGACCAGACTCTGGGGGACTAGGGACTCTGGGGACAGACTCTGGGGGACTAGACTCTGGGGGACTAGACTCTGGGGGACTAGACTAGAACTGAAACTGGGGCCTTAACCCAAATATTGACATTTGAAGTTTTTCTTTTACCTAAAATGTTCTGTTGTTGCCTTTTCTCATTATGATTGTCCTGCGTGTGTTGTGATTGTCCTGCGTGTGGTGGTGATTGTCCTGCGTGTGTGATTGTCCTGCGTGTGGTGGTGATTGTCCTGCGTGTGGTGTTGATTGTCCTGCGTGTGTTGTGATTGTCCTGCGTGATTGTCCTGCGTGTGGTGTTGATTGTCCTGCGTGTGTGTTGTTGATTGTCTGCTGTGGTGTTGATTGTCCTGCGTGTGTGTGTGTGGTGATTGTCCTGCGTGTGGTGTTGATTGTCCTGCGTGTTGGTGGTGTGATTGTCCTGCGTGTGTGTGGTGATTGATTGTCCTGCGTGTGTGGTGATTGTCCTGCGTGTGGTGTTGATTGTCCTGCGTGTGTTTTGATTGTCCTGCGTGTGTGGTTGGTGATTGTCCTGCGTGTGGTGTTGATTGTCCTGCGTGTGTTGTTGATTGTCCTGCGTGTGTTGTGATTGTCCTGCGTGTGGTGGTTGTGATTGTCCTGCGTGTGGTGGTTGATTGTCCTGCGTGTGTTGTTGTGATTGTCCTGCGTGTGGTGGTGATTGTCCTGCGTGTGTTGTGTGATTGTCCTGCGTGTGTGTGATTGTCCTGCGTGTGTTTTTGATTGTCCTGCGTGTTTTGATTGTCTGTGTGATTGTGTGTGTTGTTGTGATTGTCCTGCGTGTGTTGTGATTGTCCTGCGTGTGTTTTGATTGTCCTGCGTGTGTCAGTTCTTCCGTCGCAGGGGGGTGCTGGACGCTCTGTCTGAGTTCGAGTTGTTTAACGTCGTGTCTGGTCTGGATTTGTCGGTGGAGGCGGAGGACGAGGCTCACTTCATGGCCCAGGTACGACACACACATGTTCTGAAGGGAAATGTCCCGCAGTGGAGCTTTAACTCTGTGTGGAACCTACTGTTCTCCTCACAGAACATTCACTTTAGGCCTGTTTTAGTCCAGGTTTGGATCCGCTTTAGTCCCAGTTTAGACCCGGTGTTTCAGACGTTTCTTCTCGTGTTTCAGACGTTTCTTCTCGTGTTTCAGATCGTGGCTCTGGAGAAGAGAAACGAGGATCACGTCCAGAAACGCGGGAAGAAGACGTTTCCGGTGAACAGCGAGGACGACCCACCGCTCAAACCCGACTGTGACGATTAACGGAAACACGCGAGAAAACCACACGCCGGCCACCGCCACCAGGGAGCGCTCTTCCTCATCTGCGGCCAATCAGAGCCAGCCAACAGGTCACATGGCCCGCCCGGCTGACCAATGGCTGATCGGTTTCTCGGATCTATATTTTTGAAGGTTTTGTGGGTGAAAAAAAAAAAAATAGGAAAAGAGAAACGGCCAAAAAAGTCGACTATAAATATTTCCCCTGTTTTGTGTTGATGAAATGTGAAAGTGATTTTCAGGTGGAGAAGTCGTTTTTAAAGACGGGGTAGACGGGGTACACGGGGTACACGGGGTACACGGGGTACACGGGGGTACACGGGGGTACACGGGGTACACGGGGTACACGGGGGTACACGGGGTACACGGGGTACACGGGGTACACGGGGTACACGGGGTACACGGGGTACACGGGGTACACGGGGTACACGGGGTACACGGGTACACGGGTACACGGGGTACACGGGGTACACGGGGGTACACGGGGTACACGGGGTACACGGGGTACACGGGGTACACGGGGGTACACGGGGTACACGGGGTACACGGGGTACACTGCACATACTGCACAGTCCACTTTACCCTGATACAAAACACACCACGTTTACATGAGGGTTTAAAGTCAGAAATCAAATATTTTCCTTGGAGTTTGCAAAGAATAATAATTCTGATTTGAGGTTTACAAGGAAAACTCGTCAAATGTTTTATTTAATTGAGCTCAGGGTCTGGGGGGGGGGGGGGTTGTCGTTCCTCCACCGACACAAACACCATCCAAACTCTTTTTCCTGCAGTGGTTCTGATTAGGGATGTGCCTTCGATGAAATGTTCTTAATCGATCGTCAGAAGAATTAACGATCGATTATCGATTAATCATTAATGTTTTTATATTAAAATGATCATCATTATTATTACTATCTGCACTAATCTGCATCAATAAATTCAACTTTACGACATATAAACATAACGACTCTAGATCCACATCAGCTGTTTGACATTATAATGTGTTTAATTCAGTTTTGTTCAAATCTCACAGAAACAAAACTTAAAACCACATCACTAATTTACATAAACTAAGTGAAGATAAAACTCCAGCTCTTGTGTCGCTGATGTGGTTCAACTTGTGTCAAATTACATTCGGTTTGTTGATTAAAATGAACGTAATCGATGAAATTCTTAATGGTCAATTATCGATAATTAATCCTGCCCATCCCTAATTCTGATGATCCACTCTTTCTTTATTAATAGTTCTTCCAGAGCACTTAAAAAATGGTTTTGGCTCGAGACCAGCGTTTGCCCCGGGACGACCCAACGAGCACGAACGACCAGAACTATTTTTAGTGTCCAAACTTTTTCATAAAGGGCCACATTTCTAAACACAGACGGAGCAGAGGGTCGATCGAGGGACGTAGACTGACGCTCAATACAGTGAATAATATAAATATATGCAGGTTTAACACTTTAGAATGAACAGTCTGACTTTATTCACACTAAGATCCTTAAAACCACAAACTAAATGAACATAAATATCATCTTTATCAAGGTAGATTTTCAAAAAACTTGCAATAAAAAGTTCATTTCTAATTGATAAAGGGAAATTTGGGCCAAGAACAGTTTGTCTGAGGGCCACATTTGGCTCTCGGGCCAGAGTTTGGACATGCCTGGACAACATGATCCACGAAGAAATTCATTCAGCTTTAAAATAATCGAAATAAACCACCCAAGTGCTGCGGAATTTACTTTAATTCTGAATAATCATTTTCATGAGGAATGAAGTGTTTGTGTGTTTGTTTCATTTTTATTCAGAGTTAAATCTCTCATGTAAACGTGGACGTGTTCGCTCATCACAAATCGCTCTGAAGAGGTTTTAGAGTTGTCCATCCATGTTTGAGTCATCTAGAGATCTCTCCTGGGCCTTAGTCAAACCCTCCTCACGGTCAGCTGCAGTACGAAGCTCCGCCCACATGCTCCCGCAACACAATTCTACATAAAAACACAAGAACACGACACAAAACTGAACACAGACACTGGACAAACCTCTGAAGGGGGAGCGACTCAGCACCAAGAGCAAAAGGAGGAGAGACTCAGAGCGACAAAAACGATGTTATTACGTAAAGGAGGAAAATAAATTCTGTCACTGGACCGAAGTTTTTTGGTTGAATCCGTCCGAGCTGCTGTTGAGTTGTGGTGAGACGCTGATGACGCTGGTGCCTTAGATCTGCCTGAAGGGGGCGCTCACCCCAACCAAACTAACTAACTCACACTGTTTACACTTTCTGTTTACCATCTCAGTCTCTAAACTCTCCTCACGCTCACGTCACAAACCAGGACGACGTTTAAAAACACACGACGACACTTCTTCTGGGCTCCTTCGCCGTCGTAAGTTTGACAAAATGTTGGAAAAATGAGAAAATGTCCCAGTTTTCTTCACGTCCATGTCGTCGTCGTCGTCGTCGTTGTTTCGTTATGTTCGGCTCCTCAACATTTCCAACCATCCCTCGGTTTTCTTCATTTTCACACCGACACAAAACTCCAAACGCGCTGGGTCCATGCGATAGAAGAGACGAGGTGATTCCAAACCTTCTTCATTTTTTTCACTTCAGAGGGTTCGATCAGTCGCTCAGGTCCAGATTCGGGAACTACGCCGGAAGTTTCTCCGCAGGTTTCCGAACGTTTTCCTGGTTTGTGACGTGAGCGTGAGGAGAGTGTGGCCTGTGCCCGAGTCGTACGAGCAGAAACATTCAGGCCCTGAGTCCAGTGACAGAATTTAATTTCACTTTTGCGATGGATCTACTGTTTTCTCCATCTTTATCTCTGGATGGATCCTCTATGTTTGGGCAAATTTAACATTTTTAAAACCATAAAAGCGACATGTTGATTTAAATATGTTCTGTGTACCTCAGAGAAGTAAATACCCCCTCTTTAATATCAACCAAAAACTGTTTACTCTGTGTGAGGGACTGGAGTAGATCATGAAACCACCGGATCATTTTGTTCACATGAAAAAAACCAAATAAAATATGAAGGATCCTCGTTGTGTTTTGGTATTTTAAAGGGATGGAAAATCGGGACAGAGCTCAAAAAGGCACTGAAGCTGAAACTCTTAAAACTTTAAATCAAATCAAACGTGGATTTACTTGAACTGATTAGAAGAGAAATGTACTGAACGAGTTTGAGTCTGTAATGAAACCCGCGCACTACACACTCTGGCCACAAGAGGGAGACAAAAGCCAACAAAATGCACACAAGAAAAGCAAGTTCAGCAGGAAAAAAATAGAAAAACACACACATTCTGGAGGAAAGTACAAATAAAAAACTCTTAAAGTGTTACTCCTGTGGCCGGAGACTCGGGAGGGACCAGACTAGAGAGTCCAGACGTCCCTGTGTCCCCGGGACAGTCCCAGTCCTGACCCTGTGTCTCCTGTCCCTGCAGATTCATACAAAACCACCGATTTGTCCCAATTTATACAAGAAATGTCCCAGTGTCTCGATTTTGGACCAATTTGATCTAAACCAGGACTAAATAAACTAATAAACCAGGACTAGACTAAGACTAAACCAGGACTACATCAGGACTAAAACTGGACTATCACAACTTTTGACTAATCTGATCCTTGTCAACAATAAACAGGAGCATAAATTGTCATTTGTTTTGCCAAAATACAGAAAAATCGTGTTTATTAATAACCATAAAGCAGAAAAAAAAGAAAGAAAAAAAGCAGCGTCAGAAGTTGCTCACATCGTGACTGACAGGAGAATCCAAAATGTTTCACGCTCTTTTACGATTTTATTTTCACCAAACATCCGAACCCGAGTGTGTCCCGACTCGGGACTCGGGACTCGGGACTCGGGCGTCTTCAGGAGAGTCACGTGTTCAAACCGTTTGTCTGAATGTAAATTAGAGCTGGGTGCTGCCCCTGGTGGGAGACCTGCGCACTGCGGCTCCACGCGGGACAGAAACACGCGCCTCAACGTCACGACACGATGTTCTCCACGATGTCACTGTATAAACGTGTGTGTTTGTTTGTTTGTGTTTGTTTGTTTTATGAGTTCGGGGGGAGTAGGGGGCGGGGCTTCACCTGTGTCTCTTTAAGACGATGACGGCGCGCGCCCCTCCCCCCCACACAGGTGAGTGTCAGGTGAGGGAGGGGGGGAGGGGAGGGGGGTGTCACCATGGAAACGGCTCCAGCATCTCAAACCGGTCTGACCAGGATCTGAGAACATTCCTCTGGTTCAGACACGAGAGAGAAAAGGAAGAAGAAGAAGAGGAGGAGGAAGAGGAGGAGAAGAGAGGGGGGGGAGGAAGGAAGGAAGAGCGAAGAGGAAAAGAGAGGAAGAGGAGAGAAGAGAAGGAAGTGTGGAAGAGGTGTGATGAGAAGAGAGAGAAAGGGAGAGGAAGAGAGGTCAGGAGAGGAGAAAGGGAGAGGGGGGGGGGGGGGGGTGGTAGAGGAGGTGACGCTCTGGGGGGCGGGAGGGCATCTGACTCTTTTCCGTTAAACTGTAAACTCCGGTGTGTTCGTGTATTTGAAGCTCCAGACTCCATTTCCCATGATGCCTCTGCGCTGCGGGAGGAAACGGGGGAGGGGCCGTTGTCATGGAGACCGGTGATTTGTGACCAACAGTTGTTTCTGCCCCGGGAGCCGCCCCCTCCCCCACAGGACCACAAGTACTACTACTACTACTACTACTACTACTACTACTACTACTACTACTACTACTACTACTACTACTACTACTACTACTACTACTGAAGTACTACTACTACTACTACTACTACTACTACTACTACTACTACTACTGAACTACTACTACTACTACTACTACTACTACTACTACTGACTAGACTACTACTACTACTACTACTACTACTACTACTACTACTACTACTACTACTACTACTCTACTACTACTACTACTACTACTACTACTACTACTACTGAAGTACTACTACTACTACTACTACTACTACTACTACTACTACTACTACTGAAGTACTACTACTACTACTACTACTACTACTACTACTAACTACTACTACTACTACTACTACTGAAGTACTACTACTACTACTACTACTACTACTACTACTACTACTACTACTACTACTACTACTACTGAAGTATCTCAAGTACTACTACTACTACTACTACTACTACTACTACTACTACTACTACTACTACTACTACTACTACTACTACTACTACTGAAGTACT